GTCAAAAATAAGTTTTTGTGACCCAAGAAGAACATCAAGATTAGCTTGACCTTGTGTAAACTTTGAAACAGCTTTGTGATAAAAAATCAATCTTCTTTTGTAATTCTGAACACTTATTACATGGTTTATTACATACACAATCATGATTATTATGGATTAATTTTAAAAAGTCAAGATCAGCTTCATCTTCAAGAATTTTCTTTTCAAGAGAATCTACTCTATTTACTAACCAATTATTCATGCCTTTTAGCCTATCATTTTCTTTTTGCAGCTTAGTTTCTTCATGCATTTCATTAAATGCTTCTTGTAATGAATTATAATTCACCAAATTTGAAGAAGAGTTAGAACTTACACTCGCTGGTTTGATGATTTTGATTTGCCATTAGACACAAGTTAGCTTCTTCATTATCGAATTTTCTCGTTGATGAAGTATCATTATCATCCCATGCAACATATGCTCTTCTTTTGACTTTTTCCTCTTTCTTATCATTGTATTTGTTCTTTTCTCGGGCACTCCATTCTTACATGACCCCGCTTACCACAACCATAGCATTTATAGTTAAAAGAATCAGATTTCTTTTCATACCTTTTGTGTTTTTCTTTATCTTGAATCTTTTTCTTGAGAAATTTGTTGAACTTTCTCGACAAGCAATCCAAGATTTTCACTTTCCTCCTCCGATTCTTGACTTCTTTCTTCAATCTTGAGTGCTATACTTCTACCTTTTTTCTCAGAGACTTCTTGCTCATTGAATCTGTTAATTTCCATTTCATGTTCTCTGAGTTTTCCAAACAAGGAAGTTGTTGTCATGACGGATAAGTCTTTTGATTATGAGATTGTTGTGACCTTAGGCTGCCATGACCTGTCAAGACATTTCAAAACTTTAATATTTAATTCTTCTTTATCAAAAGTTTTACCTAAGCCCATTAGATGATTGATGATATGAGTGAAGCGCTTCTGCACATCTGCAATACTTTCTCCAATTTGAATTTTAAACAACTCATATTCTCTTATGAGAGTATGTTTTCTAGCTCTCTTTACATCAGCTGTTACCTCATGAGTAACCTCAAGAACTTCCCACATTTCCTTGACAGATTTGCATTGGGAGACCCTGAAAAACTCATCCATATTTAGTGCAGAAGTAATTATGTTTTTAGCAGTACAATCACTTTGAACTTTTTTCTTTTCTTCATTATTTAAACTAGACCATTATTTTTCTGTAATTAATGGACCATTAGCAATTACATCCCAAACATTCCTATCAATAGATTCAATAAAGATCTTCATCATAATCTTCCAAAATGGATAATCTGTACCACAAAACAGTGGAGGTCTATTAGTAGAAGCTCCCTCAGAAAAAGGTAATTTATTTTCAGCCATTAAAGATTTGGACCGAAAGCCTTGAGTATTTTTCAAGACCCTTGCTCTTATACCAATTGTTAGAAATGTAGGCTGAGATCAAGAGGGGGGGTGAATTGATCTTTGAAAGATTTTCGTAATTTAATGATTATCTATTTCAAAGATTAAGAATCCTGACTAGTTCTTGAATCACACACAACAAGCAATCAAAATAAATGCACTCACAAAATTAAAGGAGAGAAAGGTTTAGAAAGATACAACCAAGATTTATACTGGTTCACCCAATCCCAGGGCTACGTCCAGTTTCCAGCCAAATTCCAGTTGGGTTCCACTAGATTGAACGTTTTACAGATTACAACTTTAATCTCACACTCAATCTACCACAAGAACCAAAATTCCAGTCCTCGCACCTAAACCTTCACCAAGAACCAAATTCCAGCTTCTGACCAACCCTGCAGCCAAATTCCAGCTACGTAAAACCAAGTGTCCACAATTCCAGGCACCCATAATACAAGTAAAGAAAGTAAAGAAACAAATAGAAGAAACTAGAACGCTCAAACCAGGTTTATGCAGCTCTGCAGTATTTCTTCTCCAAAAGAATGCCAATTTTGCCTCAAGAAAGAACTTTTATGAACTTCACAAAACTAGCGCGATTCTCTCTTGAAAGTAGCACTTATGATTGCTTGATTGATTGCTAAAAGATGTGTTTTAAAAAGTTCAAGCAACTCTGTTTATATAGAAGATTTTCAAAACTGCTGGTTTATTTAATCTGTTAAAATAATCTTTTAATCTGTTAAAAGTCTTGTTTTAATCTGTTAAAAAATTCTTGATTATTTTTCAGATTTGTTTTAACTGATACGACATCGTTTATATCAATTAAAATTCTTTGTAAAAAATCTTCCAAACTGTTTTAATCGATTGTTTCGTCTTTCAATCGAATAAAATACTGCAAAACATTCTTATAAATTTTTCTAAGTGATTTTAACTCGATAACAATCTGTTTTAATCGATTAAAACGTTTTGAAAAAAATTCACTTAGTTATTTTAATCGATTGAAACGCATTTTAATCGATTATAATTCTGCCAAAAGATTTCATAAAATTTTCTAAGTTATTTTAACTGATAGCAAGCTTGTATTAATCGATTAAAACTTTCTGGAAAAACCTCTTAGTTGCTTTAATCGATTATTTCGCATTTGTATCGATTAAAATACTTGACGAAACAACTTTCAAAACACTTCAAGTTATTTCAATCGATTATTTTGAGTTTGTATCGATTAAAATTCTGCCAGTAACACTTTTCAAAATATTCTAAGTCATTTTAATCGATTATATCAATTCCATATCAATTAAAATATCGCGTAAGGTTTTCAAAAATCCTTCTAATGAAAACAATCGATTATTTCGAAAACATATCGGTTAAAAACCTATTACAAAAGTGTTAAGAACATTTTAGTTGATAAAGCTTATATACTATTAGTTGAAATAGTTAATTAAAAACATTTTTACAAAATACTTTGTTTTTTAACCGTTTAAACATTTTTTAGAGACATTTGCAAAATCTTTTAAATGAAGAAACCTCATGCAGCAGAGAGATAAAAATGATTATACCTAAGCAGAGATGCAGACTCACTAATCCCACTACCCTTTTATCTAAGTGACCTTTGACTGCCACAAAGTAGCCTTTGACTTCATTTTTGACTTCATCAAATCAACAAGATCTTTGCCAAAGTAATTCAATAAGATCTTCATCACTTTCATCAAGGAATTCTTGTCATTACCACCAATCTTGCATAAACATGTTCTCCATTTATTGTTGTTGATATACCTCATAGTGTCAGAAATTACCATCAATGTTGTGCTAGTTCAAGAGGAACAAAGACTCATTTACTATATTAGTTGAATCTTGCTAGATCAACAAATGTGATACAAAATGATTGGAAAGGTTGTGTTGGCTATGATAACAACCAAAAAAAAGGCTTCAACAATATTTTCAAAGCCACTACATCATAGTTCAAACAAACTACCCCGTTGCCAAAGTGCTGAGGAAATCAGATCTTACTAGAAGAATGATTGCATGATCCATAAAACTTTATGAATTAAGCATAAAGTATGAGCTTAAAGGGTCGATTAAAGTACAATGTCTCGTCAACTTCATCAACTTTAAAACGTCCAACAACCAAGTATAATATGAAACTTTTATTGTTGACCTATTACTCACAAAAGAAATGGGGGTAACAAGAGTAGAATGTAGGATAGACTCTTAACTCATAGTCAGTCATCTGTCTGGAAGTTCTCAATCAGAGATCCCTTTTAAAATATTACTACCATGTTGTTGGCCTATTAGTTTGGTTTCAAGATAATTTGCAACAACAAGGTACATAGATGGTCATTCAACAAGTGTTAACAAGTTTGTCGATAGATCAAATTAAATGTCTTATAATTTTTTATGAATCAACTTGGGTGATGCCAATAATAACATACTTGCGGGAGAACACATTACTAAAGGATGTTGCAAAGGTACAAAAGTGTATACCTCCCACTCAAAGTGAGTATGTCATGAACAAGCTACACAATGGTGTGTGCAAACTATATTTAGGATGTAGAAGCATGTCGATAAGAGTGTTTCAAACGAGTTATTTTTAGCTGACTGTTCAAAAAGATTGTATGAATTATTATGTGAAAAAGTGTGATCAATATCAATGTCATGATAATTTATCTCATATATTATCGAAGGAGTTACATAATATTATTTTATCTTAATTGTTTTGCTTTTTGTCATATATCTATATTGTATAATCTTGATTGTACACGGGGCCATAATTCATGTTACCTAGATACATTTCATAAGATAAAACAATATTCTCATGTAAATAGAGTTTAAAAAGATACATCCAATTTGTGCAAGAATAATAAAAAAATGACTTTATTATTTACACACATTTTTGTAATATTTTTTTATCTAACTTTTTGTTTTCCATCATTTACGCTAATATTGTTAAGTCTATAATTTGTTAAAAAACAATAAAATGTACTAAAAAATAATATAAAAAGAATATAAAAAAAGAATGTCTTTCCGTTTATTTATCTAAATAATATGTTAGAAAAAAATCAGTTTGTTTATTTATTGCATCCAAAATTTTAACTATGATACATGGTCTAAATATTTTTATTATTATTTAAAATAATTATTTTAACTATCTTTAATCACAAAATTTATCAAAGATTAATATATATCATGGTGCACATCATCACCGTTGTTTACACGCGTACATCTTAAATTCATTCATCCTAAAAAAAAGATGATGTCGGATGACGAAGTTTTCTTTGAAAAATTAAGACATACATATTATGTGAGAGAAAGAGGAAATAGGGTAATTTAGGAGGAAAAAAAAAAAAGTTAGGAAGAGGAGTCTAAAAATAATTAAGAGGTGTGTAAATAGAAAATCCATCATAATGGGCTGGACTACTGTCGATAGTACAGTTTCCGAAAGAAATACTGAATTAGGGTTTTAGGGAAAGAGCAACACTAGGGGGTTATTTAACATTTCTTAGGCCTCTGGCTTCAATGCTTTACGTCTGTTAAGCGGCAGACATACAGTGCGATCCAAAACTACTGACACAGAATACTTAGTGGGGAAGCGATGGATTCATTCTCAAGTCCATCGTCTGGGTCTTCGCACCAATTATCCGCGGATGATCTCAGAAAGCAGTTGAAGAATCAACTGGCCATGGAGTATGCTCAACAATTTCTTGAGGTACCTACTTTCTTCTTTTAACCCCTCATGTGGATTTCATTGCACGATTCTCAGCCCCGTACTGCTCATGGGTTGGTTTGCTATGAAAACGAAAGCCACCCTGGGTAGACCTTGAAAGAATCTGACTCATGAGCTAATAGTTTGATTCGTTTTCAGTGGAATTTGTTCGAATACAAGGAAAATAGGAATGGTGGTAGGATAAAAAGTGAATAGGTGTCGTATGCTTTGAAGGATGTAAAAAATGCTTTTATCTTGTGTTAAACAGCGTTTTCGCATGTCAAGAATGATGCTTTCTTGAGTTCTATCCTTACTTTTAGTATTAACAATAACCAGTTTCTATTTTAAAGCAAGTAACAAGACCCCTATAATCTAAAACCAAAGTATAGGTTTTATCAGCTCATTTAACAAGGATATTGTGGTATATTTACCGCCTTCTACTTGCTATTGTTAATGAAGATTGGGGAAATTCAATTATGCAGGTCAATTAGATGCAATTGATAGTGAAATGTGTAGATTGTAAGAATCCAATTAACGTATATTGACCTATAATCTAAACCAAATTATAGGTTCTATCAGTTCATCTAACCAGCAAATAGGGGTGTATTTACCGCCTTCTACTTACTATTGTTAATGAAGATTGGGGAAGTTCAATTATGCAGGCCAATGAGATGTAATTGACAGTGAAATGTGTAGATTGTAAGACTCCAATTGATGTATATTGATGATGGTTTTCTCATCTAGTAGAAAGATGCAATTGCCCTTAGTCATTGTTGTGTGTAGTTTACATGGAGCGTTTTTCTATTATGAACACGGGATAACTGTTTTAAATTATTGAAAAGTCTCGCCCAATTGCAAATTCTGGAAAATATCTTCTGGGTTGGCAATGGTAGGAGATTGCCATATAGTGTGAACAGTGCATAATTTGAGTACTGATTTTGTCCCGTGTCTGAATTTCTACTGTTCCACTCACCTCCCCCGATTGCCTCTTATTTTGCAGACAGTGGGAAGAAAATGTTTTGAGAAGTGTGTCACGAAACCAGGTTCGAGTCTTGGTGGAAGTGAAAGCAGTTGCATCTCTAGGTGCGTAGATCGATATATTGAAGCCACAGGCATAATTAGCAAAGCGTTATTTACTTCGCAATGAAAGTAATGTAATTGCTCAACATTTTGAGTAACAATTTATGTGTTCTGCAGATTCTTAATCCACAATCATGCATTTTTACATTATTATGCAACTAGAGTATCTATGCCCAGTGAGGTTTAGGGAATGAGAATTTAGATTTGATATTGCCTTGTGAATAATCCTTCTACAATTTTCCACTTTTCTAATTTTCCTTATCAAATGGAAGGTGATGTTAAATTTAAAATTATTGGTGCTTTTCAATCATAGAAAATGACGGGTTTAACTACCAATAACATCTAAGATAGTTGTGGTTAAATATAATATTTTGGAGGCGATCACATGAATATGCCTCATTGTTTGACTAGTAGGTCTTGGATTTCTTACAAATTGTAAATGAAAGGAATCAGATGTAGAGCTAACGGTGTCTACGGTTATGTTTTTTGAAGTTAGGAACATAGATTGAACTTTTTTTAAAAGTAAAGTAGTGACACATGTAATTATCCAAAAATTATGGCTATAATGCATGAATATTTCCTTGATAAAAATATTTTTGTAATCAATTATATTGGAGTTTCTATGCTTTGAAGAAACTAATAACTTTTATTGTAATCAATTACAATTTTATTTACAAACCCACGATGAAAAAAATTGTTTAAAATATCATATTAGTACACTTTTGCAAAAGAAAATGACCAATGATGCGTAAGATGATGAACTTCTTTAAAAAAATTCTTTTATTATTCCTTAGATGATATAGAATCAAGACCAATTTAATTGATTTTTTGCATATGTTAAAAATCCTCAAAAATTAAGTATTAAACATAATTAAATATGTATACGTGACTTTCACAAGTCTAAAAAATTCAATTAATTGATTATTTACTGTTAATATTCAATTAAATACAGTATATAATTGATTATACTCTATTTTATAATTTCCAATTCATATTAATTAAATGAACACATATAATTTATAGTGAGAGTGAGATACATAGAATAATGTATTAATACATTCGATAATCAATTAAATTAATCTTCAAATCAATTATCAATTATTTTAGAAATCTACAAATTCGTTATAAGGTAAACCAATATGCAGAATGTTTATCGTAATACAAATTTAATTCGTTGATACATCTATTATTCATTGATATTATATATATAATTTATTCTATTCAAAGTCTTCATGTAAATATCAAACTTTAAGCCAAAACATTCTCCATTAGGTGAGTTTTTTTGGAATAGAATTATTTTGTAAATCTCAATTGATTAATGGTATTCTATATCAGGTAGACATTTTAGTTGTCTTTTTTCTTTTTAAAGAGTATATGTTCTACTTTGATTATGTACATAATCAATCTAGAAACAACCAATCTTAAAAGTACTCTAGTTTACATTTTAGATGGACTAACAAATCTTAAAAGTACTTTAGTTTACATTTTAGATTGCCTAATTTATATTGACATAGGATTTAAAAAGTCTTAATCATGATAATAATTTTTTTTTTACATTATGAGAGAATTGATACTATGGAACATTAACTATGAATCACCAAAGTTAATGAATTATTTTTATTTGTTTGATTGAGCTTGACCTAATTTGATTTAGAAAATCAATACACATTAAATTAATTTGATTTAGTTTCAATGAACATGTTGTTAGATTAGGACAATTATATAATTCTAAGTTTTATTATAATGTAGATTATCCACTATTTTAATGATAACAAATCTAATTAAGTTTTGAGTATCTAACATTCGTATTTAAAATGAATGAATGCAAAGAATATTGTGGAAGAAAATTCAAGCTACAAATAAATACACTAGCCACACAAAGTAGCTTGTGTGATTTGGTTTGAATTTAAAAGTAAAATGGATTGGGAAATGGGAGAAGCAAGGGGGATTGAGAACGATGCATAAAGCACATAATTGAGAAAGCAATGGGAACGGGGAAAAAGTTATAGTCACTGAGGATGGGAAAATGAGAAAAATCAAATGTGAAAAGATATTATAGCACGTGAACAAGAAAAAAAATATTAAGAGTCATCAAATTAAAGACATGAAATGAACGTCTGCAATTTGATAAAAATACAATAAAGTACAATACAGAAGCCATGAGTCACTAAATTATACCGATTAAATGATGACTCAACTTTATGATGGCACACCAAAGTGGTAACGCATGCATTTAAATATCATTCATGCAAAACAAAATAACTAAAAAGAACCGATTCCCTTGTTGTTTATAGGCAAAAATTTTACTTGACAATGTCCTGCGTGAATTTGTACAGGCAAAAAAGGTAGGCAGCAAGAACCGTCATACACTTGGTCAGACTGAAACTTTACTACACAAATTCCTTCTGTTTCGGTTCAAGAACTGGAGGATCAACCACAATCCCCATATTTGCCGCAGTACCAGCTATAATTCTCATAGCTGATTCTATAGTCGAGCAATTCAAGTCCGGCAGCTTTTCAGCAGCAATTGCACGCAACTGTTCAATTGTGACCTTTCCTACCTTTTCCGCCTTGGGGTCTTTTGAACCCTTTTCCACCCCTAAATAGCAAATCAACATAATTATACTGCTTGGAACTTTGAACATTGAATTCATTGAAAAACACAATAAGCTTTGCGTAGAGTACTAAATGCCTGATGCTCTATGAAATCAATAACATTAGCATATCTCTTGCACTCTGTCTATTTAGATTGATTATGAGTGAGACGAGGCTAGACTATTCACTCAAAAACTGAATTTCAGTCAACGAAGTAATACACATTTTATGCTAGAATGCAATTCCAATCACCTACATCTATCAATTAAGTAAAGCACAACTACACTGTAAATAAAATTCCGCACATAGAAAATGTGGCGGGGTTTCATGGGGTGAGGAGGGTCATGGTCCCTTATAGGTAATGATGAACATTAAATATATATATATATATATATATATATATATATATATATATATATATATATATATATATATGTGTGTGTTTTTACAATTTTTTTTTCATATTCTTTTACCTTTTCATATTTATATTAATAATATGTTATTTTCCATAGTCCAACGGTCCAAGGGTATAAAATTACCAGCACCTCTTAGCATACCCAATTTCAAATATTAGTATGAATGAATACAAGGCAATATAGCAAGAAATTGAATCGGTTTATCAATCAATAATATGCTAGATCACTTAATTTCAAGCGAACCACAAGTTTTCTGAAATGGTAGCATCTCATCACGGTCTAGCTGACTTGAATTATACTTGGGACAGTGTTTAAGATTCAGTGTTCCTTAATCACATTTGAGCTAAATAAAATACGATGAAAACTTGTTAATGACAAAGTATGCATTTGAGATAAGGGGTTCCATTAAGATAATGTAGAATCACATTTCCCTCTCTGTCTTGGGATGACAGATGAATAAACAAATCATTGGCATTGGCAATAACAGATTATACTACTAAAGGCAACATAATATCAAACAGTTTGGAGACAATGGATGCTAGTGAACATACCAGCGGCTTTAAGAAGCAGAACCGAAGCAGGTGGAGTCTTCAATACGAAAGTAAAGCTTTTATCCTACAGAAGGAAAACACAAAATCGACATTGGCGACGGGGAAAATGAGAAAAATTTGAGAGCTAAGAACTCACGTCGTAGACTGTGATTTCCACAGGAATGACATAACCAGGCTTATCGGCGGTTCTAGCATTGTAATCCTTACAGAAAGCCATAATATTAACACCCTTGGAACCAAGAGCAGGACCAACGGGAGGAGCGGGTGTAGCTTTCCCAGCTTCAAGAGCTAGCTTTATAACCCCAACCACTGCACCAGCCAACAGAAAACACAAATTAGAGAAAAATAGAAAATACTAAGACGAGTGAGTATGAATAAGGAATGAGAGGTTAACCAAAACCAAAGCTTACCTTTTTTGGCCTTCCCACTGGGTTTAGGCGGAGCCATAGCAATGACATTGAAGCGCCTTCGAATTGGGATAGAAGGAGAAGGAGTCGGAAGTGGGGTTCTGTTTCCAGGAAACGGAAGAGAAATTTTATTCGTGTTTACGGAGAATTTGATGGAAGTGGAAAAAATCGAGGAAGAAGAGGAGCATAAGGAGGGGCAGGTGATGAGAGTTGACGCCATTGAATCTTCCCCAACAAGAGTTGTTGAATTGGGATAAAAAGCTTATCCTTAGAACCCCGACCGAAGCTTGTAAAAACTCTGAACAATATACTACCTCCTGTAGTGTTTGTACAGGATTCATTTTTAAACAATTTTATATTTCTTTTCTACTAATAAATAATGAAAGGATAAAATTGTTAATAATAAAAATTAGTTTAATACTTTAATAGTTTTTAAAAAATTCAAAAAATTAATTATTTTATCTATTTATAATTATATCATCCACCTCTTATATCAAAGACTATCAGAACAAGATTTTCTTTTAAAACCTATTATTATTTTCGTTTCAATGTTGTTTTTACGTAAATGAAATAAGTTTTAAAATTTTATTAAAATTGATAAATTAAAAAAAATATATATTTCAATTACTCAGGTTAAAAAGCAGGATTTCAAAATGAAAAAAAAAAAACTGTATAAGAGTTTTATGTTTTCTAAAATAAAAATCAATATAATTTTCATGTAACCTTAATATAGGAGTTAACGTTAATATGATTTTAATTTTTTATTATATTTATTTTAATAATATTATAATAATTAATAATACTTATTTTTATTATTATAATACATTATTTCTTATTATTATAATAATTACAACAAAATAATAATTATAAATATAAGAATATCAAGATAATAATAATTATTATCATTAAAAAATTATATTTATTATTATTTTTAGTATTTTTATTAATAAATATATATTTTTAACATCAATAATAATAATTATAACAACAATAAGTAATAATATTATTAAGAATAATAAAATTAATTGTAATAGTAAATTTTGTTACAATATTAATATTACCTAAAAATATTATTATAATTATATTTATTATTATATTTTATTAATATTACCATTAATTAATATAATAATAATAATTACTTTTAATATCTCTCAATAATGATATATTTGGTTCGTTATTAATATCTCTCAAATAATGTATAATTAATATGAAAATTAGAATAAGTAAAAGTATCCTCCATGAAAGAAAAAAATAAATTAATGTTACGATATCTAATATTATGGTGACAACATTCCATATGTTATTTATCTTCTAGTGGTAAGAGAGATAAAATGATAAAAAGTTATATTATACGAATTAAAATGGAAAAAAACAATTGTAAAAAAAGAATATATTATAAAAGTTGTTTTTATATTAATATTTTAAAAAAATTATATTTAATGCTTGTGTTTCAAAGATTATTAAAAATATATTTTATATGAAAAATAATTAAGTGATTTATTAAATAGATATTTTAATTTTATATCTTTATCAATAGATGAAATAATAAGTTATTTATGTGCTAAAATATATGGAGAATAAATATGTGATATACTAATTATTTTTATCTAGATATAATGGATCGATCCAACTCTATGATGTATCTTTTTAAATATTTTTAAATGTACTAAAGATGAGGGAGAAAATTATTATATAGGTTCTTTCATTTAGTGAGCGAATGAGTAATAAATGAGAACAAATGTAATCAATGTTGAATAAAAGAGATATCAAACATTTTTATTTGGTAACATTAAGTATAATTACATGAGAATTATAAAATATTTTATTCTTATTTTATCAAGTATGTGCTTATTATTTTCAATAATATCGAGTATCTTTATCATTTGCCCTAGTTATTAGGACTGTATAAGTATATAAGCCCCCAAGTTCCAAAGCTGACTATGTTATAGGTGTAATGTTTAATGAGGGTGAACGAGCTACTTTAGGTTTAATACTTTGCATCTGTCATTGTCTTTTTGCTTTTAGTTCTGATAATACATTAAATATGAAAAATTTGCTCTCATAATATCGTGACACATCTTATTATTATAATATTATATTTTATCTTAACGTAAAAACATGGATTCCAATGAGAATTTGGGAGAAAATAGTAGAAAAGAAAAAACTGATCTAATTCATATACTGATCGAATACAAAAGGAAAATCCAATCTGTTTGAGGAAGAAAAGAAGGTTAAATATAAAAAGGAAAAAAGTCAAATATGCAGTTAGTCAAACTTGCATAAAACAATACTAACAAATGGAAAAGGTACACGTGTAACTAATAGACTAATAGCCTCCCCTCAAGCTGGAGAGTGAATATTAAGAACACCCAGCTTGGAAATATTGTTAAGAAAAGGTGAAGGATCGAGAGCTTTGGTGAAAACATCTGCAAGTTGATTTGTAGAGGAAATGGGAAGAAGATGGAAGAGGTTGGCCTGCACACGATCTCTGACCACATGACAATCAATGTCAATGTGTTTGGTGCGTTCATGAAAGCTAGAATGAGTAGCAATGTGACGAGCAGACTTGGTTATCACAATAGATGACAGACTTGATTGGGCTTGAAGATGTTGAAATCATGAAGCAAGTAATTGAGCAATTGAAGCTCGCAGTCGGTGATAGCAAAAGCCCCGTATTCTCGCTTCGTTGAGGAACGAGAAACAGGATGTCGTTTTTTTGATCGCCAAGAAATCAACGAATTACCCAAAAAGATACAGTAATCCAAGTGGTAGAGCGATGAGTTGTCAAACATGAAGCCCAATCTGAATCACTAAATCCTTTCAATTGAATGTTGGAATTGGAAGAGAAAAACAAACCTTGACCAGGATTAGCTTTCAAATAACGAAGTATACGATTGGCAGTGCTTGATGGAAGACAAGTGGGCTTTTGATTAAACTGACTTAGAAAATTAACAATGAAACTTATATCTCGGTCGCGTATTTGTAAGATACAAAAGTCGTCCAATAAGGCGGCGATAAGCATCCGCATCACAAAGATCAAGCATTATCATCGAAAAACAATTTGGTGTCCTTGATAATAGGAGTAGAACATGGTCGAGCAGCTAGATGACCACCGTCGACAAGGATATCAAGAGTGTATTTGCGTTGACAAATGTGAATGCCTTGTGTAGTACGAGCAACTTCTAGGCCAAGGAAATATTTCAGTTGTCCCAAATCTTTAATCTGAAATTGTTGATTAAGAAATTGCTTGACGCGTGTTGATTTCATCAATTGAATCACCTCCAAGAATTATATCATCTACATAAATGAGTAAAGCAATGAAGGAAGAAACATTTTTCTTTGTAAAAAGAGAATGATCAGATTGAGATTGTATAAAACCAATTGAAAGAAGAGAAGTAGATAATTTGGCAAACCACCGCCTACTAGCCTGTTTTAATCCATAGAGGGATTTGGTTAAGCTGCAGACTCGATTTGCTTGAGGAGGTATCACGCCAGGGGGGATCCATGTACACTTCCTCATTGAGGTCTCCATGAAGGAAGACATTATTGACATCTAGTTGAACAAGATGCCAATTCTTAACAGCTGCAATAGCAAGCATGAGTCTAACAATGGTAATTTTAACAACAGGAGAAAAAGTGTCTAAGAAATCTACTCCTTCTAATTGAGTGAAACCCTTAGCCACTAGTCTAGCCTTATGTCTTTCAATAGAACCATCAGCTTTATATTTGGTTTTATAAACCCATTTACAACCTATAGTTCTCTTTCCAGGGGGGAAGATTAGTGAAATACCAAGTCTTATTTTCTTCTAAGGCTTTTATTTCTTTACGCATAACATCAATCCATTCAGGGTAACAAGCTGCTTGTTTATAAGTAGTAGGTTCAAAATTGTTAGAAATAGCAAGAATGTATTTCAAATGTTTTGAAGATATTTTTTTATAAGAGAGAACAGAAGATAGAGGATAAGAAATGATACTATTTTTAGATTTGTTGGTGTTGTCATCTCTTGAAGGATTGCAATAAGAATCTGAATTGTTGGAACTGTCAGTACTTAAGGAATTGCAATGGAAATCCTGCAGATAATATGGTGCCTTTCTCATTCTAGTAGATCTTCGAGGAGTAGGTCTGGTTAGGTGTTCGATTGGAAATATCTTCTTCTGTCACTTGGAAGGAAATATCTTGAGGATTTGAAAACGGATGCACATGATTAGACCTGACTTTCTTATGCATGAGATTGTTAGAATAAAAAAAGAATTGAAAATCAAGTCAATGTGAAAAGATCAGTGTCATCAACAATATTAGTTTTAACATAGGGAAATTCATTTTCATAGAATATCACATTTCTGGATATAGAAATTTCTCTAGAATGTAAATCAAGAGTCACATAACCTTTGGTGCCAGGTTTATATCCAAGGAAAACACTTTTTCTGGCTCTAGGATCTAGCTTCGTATCGGTTGTTATGAATTGTAGATGTGAAACAAAGACAACCAAACACTTTTAAATCATTAAGAATAGGAAGTTGATTATGCAGAATTTGGAATGGAGATTGGTTCCTTATGGTTTTACTTGGCGACTGTTGATTAGGTAGATAGCATGAACAACAGCATAGGACCAAAAACATTTTGGAAGATTGGCTTGAAATAACAAGCTACGTGTGACATTCATTATGTGTTGATGTTTCCTCTCTACCCTTCCATTTTGTTGAGGTGTCTCTACACAAGAAGTTTGATGAATAATACCATTTTTATCATACAATTCAGGATAAGAAAACTCTTTCCCATTGTCGGTTCTGAAAATTTTAATATTACAACCAAATTGGTTTTTAACAAGGATAATAAAATTGTTCAATAGACTCCTAGTCTCATGTTTATTCTTCATAAGAAAAAGCCATGTGTGTCTAGAGAAATCATCAACAATAGTAAGAAAATATCTATGACCATGTATAGAAGAAATACCAATGGGACCCCATATATCTATACGAATCATTTCAAAAACTCGTACTGGAAACATGAATACTGTTATTAAAGGGAAGTTTATGTTGCTTGGCCGAATGACATACATCACAAATTTTTTCAGTGCTATTATGAATGTAAGGAAAATCTTTAATCATATTTTCAATTATCTTGCTAGAAGGATGTCCCAATCTGTCGTGCCAAAGATTGGAAGTGGAATAATTTCTGCTACGAGTATTAATACTTGGTGTTGTCATCAAGTAGACACA